CTGTCCCACAAGGTTCTTAAGGTCAAGGGTTTTGACCTTAGGTTAGTCTTGACATCAGGTTAGGTTCACTACAACATTGTGGGTGGTGTTTACCATCTGCTGGATGCGGTGGAAGCTCTTGCCATGAAAGCTGAAGGCCTGCTCAAACAGCACCTTGTCTTCCACAGTCCACTCATCTGGGAATGGTGTGAAATTGGGCAGGTCAGCAAGAGACTTTTCTATGTTGTGCTTGTGCCAGAAGAGCATACCGAGAGCCTGGATGGAGAGATGGAGAGAGAGAGACAGAGAGAGAGCGACATACACACTATTAACAATGCAGATCCTGCAGAACATCTTCTCATTATAATTCCTCAGCAAAGTGGAAACAGCAACAAGCAGTTCCGTTGAATCTCCTCTTGTCATCTACATAAAACTGGCTGTATATTTTATCCATCCATCCAATATCTTCCGCTTGTTCCCAAGTCAGGTCACGAGGGCAGCAGCTTGAGCAGGGAGGCCCAGATAGCTTTATCCACAGCCAACTCTTCTAGCTCTTCTGGGGGGACCCCAAGGTATTCCCAGGCCAAGTGAGAGACATAAGGGCCTTTCCCACAGGTCCTCTTCAGCCCGGTTCGGCTCAGTTCGGTACGGTTTTGAGCCCTTTTCCACTGTCATTCTTTTGCAGAACTGGCCCATTTTGGTCCTTGCTTCTCTGGTGGTACCAATCAAGCCGAGCCAGCACCAAAATGTGACATCAGAACACTGTCGGTCCCTGATTGGTCGGGGGTTGGCGTCAATGGATCTTTCAGAAACTTTTCGAAACACTGATCAGTCATTTGCAAATACTCTGAACCAGGGGCGGACTGGGACAATAATCCAGGCTGAGAAATTGATACCATCCCAGTATACATAAACATACATATATACACAAACACATGTACACATACATATATACACATATACATGTACACATACATATACATGTCAAAACAAAAATCATGGGTAAGACTGCCGACCTGACTCCTGTCCAGAAGGCCATCATTGACACCCTCAAGCAAGAGGGTAAGACACAGAAAGAAATTGCTGAACGAATAGGCTGTTCCCAGAGTGCTGTATCAAGGCACCTCAGTGGGAAGTCTGTGGGAACGGAAAAGTGTGGCAGAAAACGCTGCACAACGAGAAGAGGTGACCGGACCCTGAGGAGGAATGTGGAGAAGGGCCGATTCCAGACCTTGGGGGACCTGCGGAAGCAGTGGACTGAGTCTGGAGTAGAAACATCCAGAGCCACCGTGCACAGGCGTGTGCAGGAAATGGGCTACATGTGCTGCATTCCCAAGGTCAAGACACTTTTGAACCAGAAACAGTGGCAGAAGCGCCTGACCTGGGCTACAGAGAAGCAGCACTGGACTGTTGCTCAGTGGTCCAAAGTAATTTTTTCCGATGAAAGCAAATTTTACATGTCATTCGGAAATCATAAACATACATATATACACATATATTATACATATACAAATATACACATATATTATACATATACAAATATACACATATACATACATATACAAGTATACACATAAATATACATATACATGTAAACACACATATATATATATATATATATATATATATATACATATATTTACATATTTATATACAAATATATATACACATATTTATATACATATATATACACATATTTATATACATATATATACACATATTTTTATACACATACACATACACACATAAATATATACATATACATATATACACACATATATACACTTACACATATATACACACATATATACATATATATATATATACACATACACATATATAAACACATATATATATATACACATACACATATATAAACACATATATATATATACACATACACATATATACACACATATATATATACACACACATATATATATACACACACACATACACATATACACACACATATATATATACACATACACATATA